TCGGTAGAATATATATAAAATTGTAGAAATATTTACCCACATATATATATATATATATATATATATATATATATATATATATATATATATATATATATATATATATATATATATAATGAGGGAGAGATACCACATCCAGTACATTTTTGATGCATTAATCTAAAATTACGAAAGTAATTATTAAAAACTTCTCAATCTGGTCAATTTTATAAACTTCTATTCTATTTGGAATTGGATATGTAACTGTGTGTCCGTTATGCAATCGGATATTTTGCATACAATTGTATAAGTTGTACGCAACTGTATATTTTGAAGGTTTTGTATCTATTTTGTATGCCATTACGTACGTCACTATACAGCAGGGCATCGAACCGGAACTGAACCGTAACCGAAAACCGTTAAAAACCGAAATTTTGCTCGGAACAAAAACCGTAACCAAACCGAAATATTGTTTGATAGCTTAACCGAAACCGAAAACCGTAACGAAATAAATACCGTACCAGACAATAAACACAAGCATACTTATGTATTCCAAAACATAGCAACACAAACATATAATCATAATTAAATGCACAGGCAAACATACAAACATAACATGCAAACACACACATACACAATCAAAAACACAAAACTATCTACATACACACATACAAACATCTTCATACACCACACACACCACACACACACACACACACACACACACACAGAAAAACATCCATACTGCGTATCATTAATACTTGAATCACCCTGGGTCGTCATGGTATGGCGTACGCACGTGCGTGTGTACAGCAAATATGTGTGTACTCAACTTTACGTACACGTGTACTGAGGGGTACTGTTTGTGTACAAATGACATGGTAGCAGGTGTGCGTTCAACGTGTACGTCTATCTACATCTGCGTTTGTATGTCTGTACGTACTAAATATTCATACGCAAATTACACGTGCGTACGTATCGCATTTATATACATACACGCTCATATGTACATTATATATATATATATATACACATCATTCATTCATTCATTCATTCATTCATTCATTCACTCGCTCACTCATTCATTCATTCATGCATTCATGCATTCATGCATGCATGCATGCATGCCTTTGTATATTGGAGGAATTGAAACCATTTATACATACGTGCTTCGTTCATTATTAAATATGCGTACATGGATGTCTTTCTCTCCCTCTCTTTCTCACTATATACATATATAATGGTGTATGTGCATGTGTGTGTACATGTGTGTGTTTTTGAGAGTGTGTGTGTGTGTGTGCGCGCGTGTATGTATGTGTGCGTGTGTTTGTTGGTACATCTACTGAGAAATTTTGCACCAGCTTAAATAGCTGTCTGTGGCGATACATTTCAAAATGTGGATGACGGTAGTGATGTTAACGACGACGATGATGATGATATTAATGATGATGTGATGAAGATGATGATGATGATGGTAGTGATGATGATGACAGTGATGACCATTATTGTATGTAATAATTTGACCGAGCAAAACCTACAAAGTATATAATAATAATATTAATAAAATAATAATAATGATTAAAAAATAATAATAATAATAGCACCAACATCTCAATCATTTTCAGTCGTTACTTAACCATCATGGTAAATGTTCGACATTAGTTTCTTCATCATCATTTCGACACCTTGGATAGAACTTGTTATTCAAATTTCACGAAACCACATTCCACTGCAGAGAATTATTCGATCGGGTTCTCACTTCAATATAACTGAATGAATAAATACACCGGTCAATCCAGACAACTTTGATGGGGGTGAATAGGGATAACCATTTTGACGAAGGGGGGTGGAGAAAAAACTTTGACTTGAGGGGCCATTTTGATATAAAAAACTGACATCCTTTTTTGGCAGAGTTTTTTTTTCAATTTTCAAAAAACCATTATTAGTGAAACAACATTACAACGGTAGTAGTAGTAGTTGTAGTAATAGTAGCAGCAGTATTGGTAGTAGTATCAGCAGTAGTAGTAGTAGTAGTATCAGCAGCAGCAGCAGCTTTAACACTTCAATTTATGTGATGTAATCACAGAATGGGAGCCGACTGAAGTACTACATGTAAATTGGAGACTTATATTAAGCTGAGCCGTGCGGTAAAGGTGATGATGATGATGACGTTATTTGTAATGGTGATGATGATGTTATTTGTGATGGTGATAATGACTTTATTTGTGATAAGGAGGAAGATGATGTTGGTTGTGATGATGATGATGTTGGTTGTGATGATGATGATGTTATTTGTGATGATGATGTTATTTGTGATGATGATGTTATTTGTGATGATGATGATGTTATTTGTGATAATGATGATGATGGTATTTGTGATGATGATGGCATTTGTGATGATGATGATGATGTTATTTGTGACGATGATGATGTTATTTGTGATGATGATGTTATTTGTGATGATGATGATGATGCATGTCTATGGTAATGGTGATGATGATGACGAAAATCGTGACAATTATCGCTTGTGATGATGATGATGATGGCGACAGTGACGTCAGTGAGATTAATAACGATAAATCACGGCATCTGTGATAAATATGTTAATGACGATGATGTTAATTAGGGTGATGACTCTTTCTAAAACTTTAATGATGATAAAAATTGTAATGATATACGTATGTGCATGGTTTGATGATGGTAATGATGATGACGACGACGATGATGACGACGAAGACGATGATGATTGTGCTCCGGTAAGAAAAAGTAATAATAGGTATATAATAATGTTAGTGAAATAAAAAATGTGGCAATAATGTTAGGAGCTGTAAGACGATGATGACGACGACGACGATGATGATGATGATGTTAAATTGTTTTGAGATAGTGAATGATAAGGATGATTACAAATGATATTGATAAAGGTACTCATATTAGAACGATGATAAAATACTCAAGATAGTGATATCAATGATATCATTGATCATGTTATAACCACTATCAACCTCACCACCACAAATAAAAACTCTGATTGTAATGAAACTCAAATGATGGTGGCACGCTGAGTAAATCCGATGAAAGAATTTTCGAGAAGAAAAAAATTCTTTAAGACAGGTGGCGGGCACTGAATTATACCTGTGCCTTTACATTTGTGGATTATGCATTGTTGGGGAATTTAATGTAGTTAGGAGGCATTCATTCATTCATTCATCATCGATTCATCCATCCATCATTCTTACTATAATCATTCGTCAATGCATCTTTCCATCATTTCATTCAATTTTGTGATTTTGTCGTTTCTTTGTTTCTGTCGATTTGTTTCCTTTTTTGATTCCTTCTGATGATTGTTCATTCGTTCATCGCGATGTTTGCTCGTCTGCACGTTTATGCGTTTTGTCGTTTCGTTCAATTAATACATTTGATTTATTTTTATTACCTTTGAACAAAACAAGATGGTGGTACAAATCTTGACGGCTGCTCAATTTAAAATGTTGTACTAAAATTGAATAAAAAATTAAACAAACAACAAAAATATATAACCAGTAAGAAGTGGTTACATTAAATTCTTATTTACAGTAGAGCTCTGACATACAGAGAATTGCTTAAGTATCATTCTTTCCTTACAATTTTGGCCACAAAAGCTGCAACGTCCACACCACACTACACTACACGACGTACAGACACATTCGGCAGTACTCGCAATGTCGCATCATACATGCATGGCAAATAGTCTTTTGATTTCAGAGAAGCAGTTTTCGACTCTTCTACCGTCTGAGCTACCTCACTGACCAAGTTATCGAATTAAACAAAAATAAAATAAAATATGTACTACACGAATAATATTTAACGTTAAAAGAGGACTAACAAACAATTAAACAATTAAAACTTAACTCTCTCTCGACTTTATTTAATCAGTAGATAATTTAAACAACAGTCTCAACTACAATCTATTCTTTCCAGTACGTTTCATTAAAAGATGCATGAATGCAACCACACTAACAACCACACATACACGCACATGCGTAGATGCATTCAATTTACTTTGGTCTGCATATAAAGTTGAATTGAATTGAAATACGCACAGACACAGGAAACCAACAGTATACGTAGAAAGGTACACAATCACGCATACACATATTGATACACTCTTACACACACATAAATCGCATACAAATACATACACAATACACGTAAGAACAAACACTCGTAAACACAAACTAACACGCGCTCACACAAACATACATGCCCACACAAGTCATATACACATATACTTACACAAAATTACACACACACAAACACACACACATACACACCTTCTCTTTTCTCCAGAAGATCAGCGAAATAGAAAGCCCCAAATGTATGGATGTCATCGGGCTGCGTTCTGAGAACTTCAATGCAGAACTTTTCCAGTAGCGAGTGAAATCCTCTCGGGACCTTCAACTTTGTAGGCGCGTAAGACATTTTTTATTTTGTATGTTAATCTTTTGTAATCATCTGTATTCCTTCAAATCAGTTGAAACTTTAAATGTTTTAAAGATGTATGATAAAACCGGCAACATTCAAAGATAAGTTTTAACTTGTTTAACAGCGTTAGGCTGATGAATTTGTGGTAGAATTTAAGCAAATGTGCGTCAACAACTTCACGATCACCTGTTTCTCAGTTGCTAAGCATTTGCATCCATGGGAATCGTTATCAAGTTCTAAATTATTTATTTTATTGGTTCTTTATTTGAAAATTTGTAACATTTATAGTCTTCATAGCACACTGCTAGTAGAACATGTAATTTTAATAAAAATTTTGGAAATAATATATTAAACGATGTTTGTATCCGTTTATTTCTTATTCACAAGGTGTTCTTGGTTCTACCGTAAGCTAAACGTGAACACTGAATTGTCTTCGGAGTTTTTCTACCTACACGATTTTGAACTCGAATTAACTTTTAAGTGTTAAAACTTTGACAATTTTTTATCGCTCCAAAGTTTTCGTTCTATAAGAAATTACTTGAAAATTTATTTTGGTAAAATTTTGAGCTTGAAACAACATGCACTTTTCTCATTTGATCGTTTTGTTATTTTGTGTGCAAAATTCCTTTTCATTATCTCCACACGAAGTACCTGCCGAAAATCTGATTGAGTATCCTCTGCCTAAGTTAGAGTACGACTTTGATGATTTGGAACCTTACATTGACGGGGCCACTGTGAGGGCGCATTACAACGGCCACCATGAATCTTACAGAAAAAAGATGAATGAATTTCTGCAAAAATGGCGTTCAGTATGATTAGGATTATTAATTATAGATAGATTATTATTTTTTATATGAAATATTTCATTAATTTTTTATGAAGATGATATTTAAATATTAATGGTAATTTATAATATAATATAATATGATAGGTCAATGTGGAATGAACTAAACCAATTGAACTGAATTTAAAATTAAATTTAGTAAAGTTTAATTATTAATAATTTATTAAATTAAATTAGTTATATATATATATTTTTTGTTATATGTTGTATATTAATTATATGTCAATTTATTTTTATTAATATTATATTCAGCATCAGTTTAAATTTTATTTGTTATCAATAAGATTATTTTAATTAAATTAATTATTTAATTGTTGTTAATTTGAGCAGTCAGTTTCAAGCAAGCTTCCATATCAGTCCTTGTATCAAATCTTACAAAATCTCAATAAAGTGCCTCATGATTTAGAAATAAGCATTCTCAATAATGTCGGAGGGTTAGTTATATTTATGTATTGAAATATTTGTAATTATTATTGTCTGCATAATTTTTTTATATTATAATAATATTTACCTACTTACCTAAATAAGGTAATAATAAATTTTAAAAATTTTTTAGGATAATGTATTGTAATATATATAAAATGTAATCATTCATCCATTAGATATGTCAATCATGCACTTTATTGGAGCATCTTGTCACCGAACCCGAGCAAGCAGTTGAGACTTCCAGAGGGTCATCTGCTTGAGAGGATCAAATCAGACTTTGACAGTTTTGATGAGTTCAAAAACAAGTTCACTGCAGAAGCATTGAAATTATTTGGTTCAGGTGTTTAATTATGTTTTCTATGGAAATACTATTTTCCAGCTACTATACATTCAAATTTTATGTAGGAACCTATTATCGTATTGAAAAATTTGTTGAGAGTTTAAGGGCTCTCAATTATTTTTAAAGAGTTTAAATGTTCAATATTAGATTGACGTTTATTATAAAATTTACAGGATATGTCTGGTTAGTGTCAGAGAAACCAAATTTTGATGGATCAGAAGGTCGTCTTAGAATAGTTTCTTCATCCAATCAAGATTCACCTATCACTTTCAAGCTCCTCCCACTTCTTGTGATCGACGTATGGGAGCATGCATACTACTTGAAGCACCAGTATAAAAGGGTGGAGCATGTTGAGGACTTCTGGTATTTGGTGGATTGGAAGAAAGTTGATGCACTGGTAAAGTTCTGGGAGGAGTTTAACTGGGAGTTGCATGGAACGTACAGGGAGGACTTATGAGTCGGTGATCGACAACTAATAAGTTTAGAGGACACATTTTGAAAAAGTGAAATGCATTTACCAAATAAATGAAATATATATTTTGTGAAATTGTTTTTAAATTTTTTGTTTAATTATTTTATTAAAATGTTTGCATATCGTTTAATAGTCAGTATTCATGCTTTGTTGAGTTGCCTCTGCTGCTTTGTTTCAGAACGGAAATATAACTTTTATATATTGAGAAGTTGTTTCAAAACGTTTTGATATTTTTTTGTTATATTGTCATTGAAATGTTATTAGCTTTGTTGGATATCTTTGTCCTTTTTATTAATAAATGTGATGTAATACTGATTATTCCAGTTCAACTCAATCAAAAAGTGATGCATCACAAATTCCTAACCAAACTCTTCAAATATTGAAAAATATTAGTGAAAGATTGAGAAAAGACGCAAAATTTAGAATAGATATATTAAATATGCGTCGTGACGGTTGAAGATGAGGTCCTGCTGTGCGGCAGTGACCTGGTTCAAATGCAGAATGATCCTCACTAATCGTGTACATCGCACACGCTGCAGTTATTTTCACGCATATTCTCGTGCGAGTTGAGTCGCTATGAACCCTGAGACAAGTGCGGTCAGGGTTAATAACTTTTAATTGTTGAATGAGTAATGTGCAAGAGTTTAATCAACGTAATACAGAAATAAATAGAAAGGCATTTACTATCCCTGAAGTTATGTGGGGTCAGAGATTGAGGCGAGGGACAACAAAAGACAGTTAAACGAATGGTAACTTTAGCAAAAAGTAAAAGAAAGATGTTAGTAAATAAAACTCTGCTGCTATAAACAATAGTAAAAACAATTTAACCAAAATTTAATGGACAGATTTTACAAAAGTTAAAACGTTAAAATGACTAAATACAGCTTTCAGTCAACTTGCATAAAACTAAAAATAAAAGAACCATGTACTCTATATATAGTAAGATAAGCGAAAATTTTAAAACTCGTGAAAATCTCAAGAAGAACATGATGTTTAGCATCAAGAATAAAGAGAAAAAAGTAGGAAACAAAAGAGAACAGAATAATAAATAGAATTTTTTTGAATCAAGACATGGCACAAAATAGCAAACAACAACAGTCAACGAACATTTTGAATAAAGTAAATAAATTTCAGTGAGATGTTAGTTGTATCGAAATGACGTCCACAATAAATAAGCAACGACTTGCTTGGGCGGGTTATTCGAAAAAATATATTCGAACGAGACATCGTGATTAAAAATAGTTCGTCTGTAAAAATTAAATTCATTAGTTCTTGAAAACTTATAATTAAATTGTTTGGTCAAAATGTCGTTACCGTTTTTGCCAGGATTTAGCTTCAACACGTCGGTAAGTATTAATACATTGCCTTGTTAATGTTGGTCTGTTGTTGTTGTTGCCCTACTTCAGACATCTGACTGAAGACTCAGGCATGGTTGGAGCCAGTTTGCTGGGACAGTTGAATGGATGGGGGGGGGTACATCATCCGGATGATGTTGCCGGCAGAGAGGGCATCTTTTGGTGTATCTGGTGTCAATTTTAGCATTATAACTGTTTATTAGGATGCAGTGACCTGAGTGGAGTTGGTCCAACGTTCTTCTTAAGGCTCTGGGCATCTTTTCTTCTACCTTGTTTATTTCAGCGGCCTGAGACGATTCTGAAGCGTGTATGGTGTCGTTGCTGTGTAGGGTGACTGATGCTGCCTTTAGCGAGGTGTTGTTGATGACCACAGGGAGCACCGGTTGTAACATCTGTTGATACTCTAAACGGGTGGTATCTTTAATGTTACGAAAGAAACGTGGCTTGTTTGTATAATGTGGCAGGGGTGGCTCGAGTTGTGACACTGTTGAAGGAACTGAGATGAGAGGAGACCCGTGTGCTGCCTTACAAAGAGCATCTTGCATTCTGAATGTAGATGATGTTCCGATGCTATGTTGCAGCAACCGGTTATCACCCGTATGGCAGCATTCTGTGTGCTTTGTCCTAATTTATTGAAGTAGGGATAGAACGTCAGTGGAGGCCAAACGGGGTTGGCATATTCTATTATCGAACGGCCGGTGGTCTTGTAGGTTTGCAGCAGGGTTTCTTTATCCTGGCCAGAGATGGTTCCACTGAGCGCTTTTAATATATTGTTGCGTTTTGTGGCCTTAGATGCTGCCAATTTGTGATGTTGCAAGAGTGACGGTATAGTGTCCAATGTGAGGCCCAAAAGTTTTGAATAATGTTCGAGTGAAAGAATCTAATTTTTGAAGATGATAACATTTCCTGCATAATTATGTGCTGTGAAATGAATAAATGACTGCAAATAACATCCTAATTTACAAAATTTTTTTCTTCTGCAAATTTTCCAGTTGGGCAAAACAAACTTTCACAAACCTCACTACTTAGACAATTACTGTGGAATGCCTCTGGAGGTTGGAATGTGGAAACCTGGAATAGGTTATAATTTTCAATAAGGTTATATCTATAAAGTATGTCGCATTTTTTGCGTTTCTATACTTCCTCCTCCCCCTTTCCACAAACTGTCACAAATTTTTAGACCCCCATACCAACAATTTTTTGACTCCCTCTCTCTTGAAAGTTACCATCTAGTTGCTAGCAATTTAAAATGTTCCAATGCAAACTACGGTATCTAACAACCTTGACTCCAAATAAAAACGTAACATAACTTCACAGATGAAAGGAAATTTCTTGAAACATGTAAAAAAATTTCAATTTGAAATTTGTTAACCTTTTTTGATAAAATTATGTTTTGCAATATTTTTATCAAATCACTATAGAAATTGAAAAAAGGCAAAGAAAAACGGGATGTCACATGAACTTTTGACCCCTACCCTTTGTCACCAATTTTTTGACCCACCTTCTTCTCTCTTTTAACACACGACATCCTTTATGGACAGCTTTAAATTATTTTGCTTAAATAAAAAAATTTATGCAAAAAATCAATTTCGTAAAACTTTCTACCGAGTTCTAAAGCGTTTGAATGGAAATGTTGATAGGCTAATTGTTAAACCGCATAGGGGGCGACAAAAGACCATGCTTCCAGTGGACCTCTCCACCCTACTCACACATCCCTAAAAGTAGCAACTGCCTCGGAAATTCCAGCCTTCCCAGATGGATTGCTTTCGACAAGCAGGTGTTAAGTTTCGATGGGTATTTCCAGGAATCAGTGACTGAGCATAAAGAAGGTCAGTTCAGAATAAGGAAAGTGAAACTGTACTTTTTCTTGGAGGACGATACACTGATGGTTGTAGAACCAAGAATCAGGAACACTGGGCTGTGTCAAGGTTAAAATTTATTATTGTGTAGATTTTCAAAGTTTATTGAATGTTGCACAATTATGTTTAGATTTATGATTCTTATTATAAATCTAAAACATTAAAAAACGTCATCATGAAAGGCGTCATAGTGAAGCGTCACAGAATCCACAAACCAGAGCCATGCAGCCACTTGTACTACACTGCGGAGGACTTCAACCTCGGAACGGAGATTGACATTTATGGCCGGGTCTACAAAATTTGCGACTGCGATTCATTCACATCGTCTTTCTACAAAAATATCGGCATCATACTCAAAAGGCCCGTCCCTTTCACTAGCATACCCTTCGAGAAAAAAATTGTACGCCACTCTTGTTTCCATTCATTTTTTAATTTTCAATCTTCAGTAATTTTCATTGTGTTTTTATTTTGTTATTATTTTCACATATCAAGTGACAAACGAAAGCGTGCTTTATACAAAACTGGCTTAATTCTTCAACAAATATCATGCTGACACGCTAAAACCAAATCATCATCAACAGTAGCAGTAGAACCAACATTTAGAGCAGCATTTGAAACGCAACATTAACAACTACAACGACAACAACAACATAAAAATGTCCTTATTGGAAACATCCATCAGATGCAAGAGAAGGACGGACGAAAGAAGCGACCGGAAAATGTCGAGCTGATGAGTTCCATGCAGTTTTTCACGAGGGACCCCTTCGTCCTGAGGTTCTACTGCTACTGGGATGACAGGGAGAACATGTTTGGAGACGTGAGGCAGTTCGTCATGAACTACTTCCTCTCCGACGACACCATCGAGCTTATTGAAGTTCTGCCGTAAGTTCCGTCACTTGGGGAAAGAATTTTATGATGTGATGGTTCTCAATTTACTTTTGTGAAAATAATTATCTTCGTGAATGTTAGTAAATTATTATCTATTATTTGAAAAATGCAAAAGTATGCCAATAAAATTTCCATATGATGGAAGTTCGTTGAGGTTTGACGAGAATGTGGACAATGATGAAAGCGGCGAAGGAAATTATTCTAAAATATTATGAAACGTTTGCACTGACTGAAACAACAAACTGTTGCAATAATAATGAAACATTAAAAATTCTTCATGCCAACTAACGACGGTTGTCCCAAAAAAATCTTTTTCAACTCTGGTTAACACTTTACAAACTGCCTTATTCTTTCCATAAACCATTCAACATCCCACTCCTCTGACAGACAGAACTCCGGCCGCGACAAGATTCCATGGTTTCTGAAGCGTTCTAAAGTCCCAAAGAAGCCCGAGACCATGAGGAACGTGGGAGCGACGGCAAAGCACAGCGTGTTGAACGTGTTGGGAGAATCCGGGTGGACCAGCAGGTATCTCATGGATCCTTTAGAGGTCGGAATTCAAAGTTCAGTTTTTGTCGTTATAGTCATGTTTATTGTTTTTGGCTCTCGTTGTAAGCTGGGTATTTACTCACGAGCGATCTTACATCTGCCAAGTGACAAAATGTATTCTTGTGTATGTGTTAATTAAATATAGAGTCTATGTCACCTCAATTTCGTTCGTTCTTCCAAGAAAGAAAGATTTATAATGTGAGGAGTAACTAAAGGCAGTTCCAACCTAATATAATTTTTATAATATTGCACATAATACTAACGCATAATAATAATTATGCGTTACACAACGCACACACACACACACACACGCGCACACACACGTTGTAACAGGTGGGAAGAACTTACGACGATTTTTATTTGGATTCTGACATCCGGATCGGATCATCGTTGAACGTCTACAACAGGAGGATCATCGTTCATAGCATGGATAATTTCACGAAGGATTATTACAGGAAGAAATATGGGATAAGTACGTTTGCTGGTTGATCGGTTGTTTAATTGATTAATTGATTGATTGGTTGTTTAATTGATTGATTGGTTGATTGATTTTATCTATTGGTTATTAATTAATTAACGAGGAGCTGCTTGGCTGTTCGTATGATTCAATTTACATAATCAATCATTTGACTATATAAATAAATAAATCAATCAATCGATCGATCGATCAATCAATCAATCAAAAACAAACCACCAACCAACAAATCAGCTGATTTCACTCCCACCCCCTGCCCACGGAATGTTGACCCGGACTTTTTCAACCGCAACTCACGCTACGAGGTGGACGACCATGATGAGGATGGCCTCAGAAGAGCAGGTGCTGATGATGATGGCGGTGTTTGTGGCGTATGCGGTCACGGCGGAGGCTGCTGTTGTAGAGTTGAGGAGCAGGTGACGTTGCGTTTGCAGGAATTTTGTGAAAAAATTTAGCAAAACATTTTGAAATCTAACAATTAAAACTATTCAACTTATCGACACTCAATTTCTACATCGTTTTCGTCATCGTCGTCATCATCGTTTTCGAAACGATTATCATCATCATCACTGCCGTAACTCAAAATGAAGGTGATAGAGGGGCAGGGTAAGGCGGAGTGTGACCCCGGCATCAGGGCATGCCCCCCCCACTGCAAGGAGAGCGACAGTTTAAAAAAACACATTGACCTCTACAAGCAGAAGTACTGCCATCTACCGCCCTACAATGGATTCGGGTCGGAAGAAGATTCTGCTGGTCTGCCACCTACCAACCATTCGTTCATTCGTTCATTCATTCATTCATTCATTCATTCATTCATTCATTCATTCATTCGTTCATTCATTTATTTATTCATTCATTCATTCATTCATTCATTATTGAATAAACAAATGATTGAATGAATGAATGAATGAATGAATGAATGAATGAATGAATGAATGAATGAATAAATAAATGAATGAATGAATGAATGAATAAATGAATGAATGAGTTCGAAATAAAAAGCTTGATTGAATGGTAGATATGACGAAAGCTAAGATGTTGACAAGGGTGATAATATGCGATGGGGAGGTTGTAACTGACCGATAGATAGGTTGATTGATCGGTTGACCTGTGTATGTGTAAATAATAACTTGCCCACCCAGGCAACTGCCTTACCCTCCACCCCGAGACCCTCAGAAGCAATGACGCCATCCAATTCTTTGTCCACGATAGGAGGGCTCTTGACAGTAACCTACTCAGGTCATCATCATCACTATCCTCATCATCATCACAATCATCATCACAATATTCGCCACCAGCGTCACCACCACTACCACCACCACCACCACCACCACCATCCTCATCAGATTTGAAGCTTGCCTCATGTCATCATTCGCACCGGACACGCAGCGCAAGTTCATCGTCCTCTACTTCCGTACCAACGACACTTTCAAGATCTTTGAAGTCAAAGTTAATAATTCTGGTATGTCTGTGTGCGTGCGTGTGTGTCTGTGGGTATGTATGTATGTATGTATGTATGTATGTATGTATGTATGTATGAATGTATGTATGTATGTATGTATGTATGTATGTATGTATGTATGTATGTATGTATGTATGTATGTATGTATGTATGTATGTATGTATGTATGTATGTATGTATGTATGTATGTATGTATGTATGTATGTATGTATGTATGTATGTATGTATGTATGTATGTATGTATGTATGTATGTATGTATGTATGTATGTATGTATGTAAAAATTTAAAAAAACATTCAACCTTCGCTTGAATGTTTTTTAAATGATGGCCACTATGATTTGTTTGATTAATGTTTTGTTCATTTCGGCTGATCGGTTAACAAATCATTCCATTAATTGAGTAATTTTCTTGTAAACAGAATCCCCTGGAAAACTAATAACATCTAATGTACCAATCTATTTGTTTAATCAATCTATCAACCAACCAAGCAATCAACCAATTTATCGATCAATCTACCAACAAATTATTCAACCAATCAACCAAATAACCAATCATTCAACCAATCAACCAACAAATCAACCAACTAATTTACCAACAAATCAACCAACCAACCAATCATTCAACAATCTTGATAAGGTTACATCGGAGGGACGTTTGCTTACCGGCAACGCATACCCAAACCGAACCAGCCCAGGTTCAAATGCGAGCTGTCGCGATATTACGGTAAAGAGGATCTGTACATCGGCAGCGTCATCGTGTATAGTGGTCACTCATTTGTACTGACCATGGCAGATGAGTATGCGCTCAGTTACATGGAGAGGAATTGTAATGAGGTGTGTATGTGTTTGTGTGTGTGTGTGTGTGCGTGGTGAATATGTGTGGTATGTGTGTGTGCGTGTTCGTGTGTGTGCGTGTTTGTGTGTAGTGTGTGTGTGTGTGTGTGTGGTGTGTCTGTTTGTGTGTGTTTATGTGTGATGTGTGTGTATATGATGTATATGTGTGGTGTGTGTGAGTTTGTTAATATAGTGTTTTGTTGTTTACTGAATATTCATTTGATATGCTGATGCGTTCATTCAATTAATGATTTATTTCCTTCCGCCATTCACCGAAATGTATAATTTAATTTTATAAAGTCGCTTAACTTTATTTCAGGTTTTACTTTTTTATCATTCATCTACGAAGTTTACTCATTTTCTTATTCTTTCAACTCGTTTTTTGTAATGGTTTTTCAATCGTTCATTCATTCATTCATTCATTCATTCATTCATTCATTCATTCATTCATTCATTCATTTTTAATTAATTAATTAATTAATTCATTCATTCATAATGCATGTACGCTCACTTGTTCACGCGCTCTTCAGTTTCCTCAGTCTGACTGGCGGAAAAGTTTGCGGAAGTTGGTTCCGATACTGGAAAATAAAGAGGTCGGTGATAGATGGATGGATGGATGGATGGATGGATAGATGGATGGATAGATGGATGGATGGATAGATGGATAGATGGATGCCGATGGATCTAAGGATGGATGAATGAATGGATAGACGGACTGAAAAATAAACGGATGGACTAATGAATGAATGCGCGTACACACGCACACAGATAAAAAGAGACCTCGAACTACTGCGATCGGAAGCCTGCATGCCGTACGAACAATTCAAAGATGTGATTGGTCAGAGCGTGGGCAGGGTCAACAAGATTCTGACCTCAGTAGATCGAGGTGGTGAAACTGGAAGTGGTAGAGACGGTTGTGGTAACTGCAAAGGTAGCAGTGGTGGCTGTGGTAACTGCGATGGTGGTAAAAGTGGCTGTAGTGGTGGAAATACCGGTTGTTGTAATGGTAATTGTAGTAATGGTTGTGGCTGTGGAGGTAGTGGTAACGTTTTCGGCGGCGATAATATTCTTCGCTCTAAAAATTGCGGAGGGGCTGTGGTTTGTGGTGATGGATGTACCGTCAGTCTCAACGAGCATGATTATCTTACATTAGCCAGGTTGGTTGTTGGTCTGCAGTCTGGTTGGTTGGTTGGTTGGTTTTGTTGGTTGTTTGGTTGGTTAGTTGGTTGGTTGGTTGGTTGGGTGGTTTATTGATTGGTTGGCTAATTGGTCGATTGGTAGGTTCATTGATTGATTGGTTTATTGATTGGTTGGCTTATTGGTTGGTTGGCTGGTTGGCTTATTGATTGATTGGTTGGTTGATTGTTTAAAAATTGATTGACTCGTTGAGTGATTGATTGAATGATTGATTTTTCCATCTACTTCATTGTTATCATTATTTTCACAAAATTTCAGTCTGGTCATCATGTTCATCATTCAATTTATGTTCTTAACATCAAGTTTTTTTTACATTCTTATTATCAGCTTTCTCATCTGTTTTATCACCATCACCACCACCATCATCATCACAATCATCATCACAAGCGTCATCATCACTACATTAATCATCACCAATAACACCACCATCACAATCATCACCAGCGTCATCACAGCGTCATCATCATCATCATCACCACCAGCTCAGGCCTGCTATCGAAGGAGTCGATGATGACGATCTTCAAGGCACACAAGGTTCCTGTCTTCATGGAGAGGATAAGGGATGTGCTAGATCAGTCAGTTGTCATGATGATGATGAAGATGATGGGGATGACGATGGTGATAATGATGATTACATCAACGATAATAGTTATGACATCTCAGATGAATCAACAACACTCACACATACAAACACACATACACAAACAAACACACACACACACACATCGCATGTGATTGGCGGGGATTTCCTATGCATTCGATCCCAGTCGTTATAAATATTAATAATTAGGATGCTGTTGACGTCATCGTCATCTTCTTTATCGTCGTCATCATCTTCGTCATCATCATCTTCTTCGTCGTCATCATCATCTTCGTCGTCGTCATCATCTTCGTCGTCGTCATCGTCATTATAATGAGCAATTAACGTTGCCAAGAGCTAACAGTCGCAAACACCAACAACTCCATTGCAAATAATAATCAACACCATACTTAATCATCCAACAATTGTTGCGTTGGTTAATCCTTCTTACTGAATTGTCCAACAATGTTTGCCAAGAGTCTCAAAATCTCTGCAAAAAATTTGACCTTACCCCAATGGACATCCTTTTCATTTTGATTGTCCGTTATTAACTTTATCTATAAATGATTGCTGTGATTAGTTCCGACTCAATTTTGTTCACATCGCATGAGTAAAATTTTGTACTCCATTGTGTGTGTGCGTGTGTGTGTGTATGTGCGTGTGTGTGTGTATGTGCGTGTGTGTGTGTATTGATTTGATTTCCATCAAATAATCAGCGTTGCAGACAGCAATGGCATGGTGGATTATGAATGTTTGTTGAAGGCGATCGACTGGAGGTGTTGTTGCACAGTGCCAATACTCTACACCAATCCTGCCATTGTCGTCAGGCAGAAACAACAGGTTGAGTTGTTGTTGTTAATGTTTTTGAGATTAATTTGTTGATGTTAGTATAGATGCTAGAGCGCTGTTGTTGTTCTTCTTAGTGTTGTTATTGTTGTTTTTGAAATAAGTTCGTTTATGTTAGCATTGATGTTGTAGCGTTGTTGTTTCTGTTCGTCTTTTTAGTGTTGTTGTTGATGTTAGATTTTTGATGTTAGCATTGATTTTGTTTGTTGTTGCGGAGTTGCTGCTGTTTGTCGTTACTGTTGTTGTTGTTGTTGTTGTTGTCGTGTTTGGTGGTTGTTTGCGGTTGTTCTGGTTTTGTTCTTACTGGCGATAGTAAAAGTGATACTGATTTTGATGATAATAATGATGTGATAATTTTGTAATAATGATGATGACGATTTAAACGATAATAACTTTTAAGTCTTTCATCACGCAGCTCCGACATTTGCAAAACTGCTTCCATTATCACTCATACAGTCGAACCTTCGCAACACAAAAGCTGTACACTATCCACACCACTCCATACGTGGCATACCATCACGTACGCACGCACAAGCACCGCATCATACGCCTATGATGGTTTTTAAGTTTCGGACAGCTGGTATTTGAACTAGGTCATCAAGCAATATCAACGTGAGACATGGCCACTTCTACCCTCTATGCTAACTTGCTGAACAACGATGATGTGATGATAATAATTATTATAAAAAATGATTTCAACAATAATCACGATGATGGT